TGAAAAGTACAGTTGGTTTGACACTATACAAATCAAATAAGTGAGAAAGAAAACAGCAGGATTTAAACTGCCAAGTCCATGCAAGACAACCACTACAGATAAAATAATGGGCTTGTGAAACTCCTCAAAATAGAACTGTTCAGCAGCTATTTCACAAACAGTGCCATCTTTGCATCTAATTTTTAATGTTTTGAGTCACACAAAACAAACTGCTAATAGTATGCAAATGATCTTCCTGTCAAAACTGTACACAGTGCCACAGTTTGGCTTCATTTCTCCGATGCTGATAATTGTTTCTGTCTTTTTGGTTCGTGGAATGAATGCGAGCACTGACCTCTGCTCCTGTGTGTGATTAGTGTGAATAATACTGACTTGTTGATGTTTCCACCTGGAGGATTGTCTGGTAATTGGGCTGGCGCTGCGCTGACTGGAGCTAATGATCAAGGGGGCCAGTGCTAGCTAAATGAGGTCAGGTTGCAGCTATGAATGTAATGGTAGTATGAAATCAAAGTATGATAACAACTATTTAAATGGACTAGACTGGTAAATACAACAGACAGGTACCATATAAATAAGTGGACTAATAGTATGTGATGTCCCCATTAGCATTCAGCTCCAGTCAATGAAGCTCATCGAGGCTGGTGGTCATAGGGACAAATTTGGAGCCGGGTTTTGCAGTAGACCTTTTTCACAACAGCCAACAGTGCTGCGATGTAGGGTAAACGCCACTTCCAGTTTATGCTCTTTTTCTATGGCAAAATATCTGAGGAAAAGTCTCACGTATTCTACACCAGCTTCATAAATCTGTCTACCCCATCACCAAATCTTCAACCAACAATGTCCACAAAGCACACATTATGTCCATGAAGAATTTATCCACAACTCTCAAGGTAAGAAAGACGAAAACGTAAAGGCGAACAATGATTAGCATTATTGAACTACTCCTGAGCAAAACTAATATTATGGTCATGGATAAAACATAAGTAATAAGTAATTCATTCATCAGAACTCAGACTGATTCTGGAATTAAAATAAAAAATCGATTTCATGATGTTGATATCTGCCTAGGCAGAGATTTGCGCAGTTCGAATGCTACAGATGTTCACAGATTGCATGTCTAGCATTTAAACTGCACAAATCTCTCTGTCTATGCTAATATCAACATCATGAAATTGATTTTTAATTTGAATTGTAAAATCAGTCTGAGTTAAGAAGTTGCTAATGTTTTATTCATGACCATAACCTTAGTTTTGCTCAGGAGTCATTGCTAGTTGATGTTCGCCTTCACGTTTTCATCTTTCTTACCTTGACAGTTGTGGATAAATTCTTCATGGACAGAATATGTCCTTTGTCGACCTTGTTGGTTGAAGATTTGGTGATGGGGCAGATTTATGAAGCTGGTGGAAAATACACAAGACATTTCCACTGATATTTTGCCAGAGAAAAGCATTAACGGGCAGTTATATTTACCCTACATCACTGCACTTCCGGGCATTGTGCAAAAAGGGTTATTCTGACCGAATGTATAGCAACCAAACAGCCAATTAGGAGTGAGGCTGTGACAGGTAACGCCCCTTTCTGTCCGCAACACAGCTTTATCAGGGAGCTGTCAATCAAACCTGTTGCTAACGCCAGCAGGAGTGACCTCGGTGAAAGAAGGTGCCCAATTTGTCTGTGATTTGTGGACAAAATAACTAAATAAAAACACCAAGATAATTTTAAGACCAAAATAACGAGGCTCACTGCAGCAGTTACAGAAAGAAAGGTGACAAGATTTCATGAAAGTGAAAAGAACGTTAGAGTTGGAAGCGCGCTCATAATCACTTCCTATTTGGAATGCAGCAGCTAGCGCATTACTCCATTTATATATACACATTTTTAATATCAGTAAAAAGTAAAGATTAATTACTAGTATTTAACTTTTGTACTTTAGTGAACATAACATCTATGCATTTACTCTTATAAAACTAAAGCTTGAAACTGAAATTGAAAAGACTTATATAAGTGTAATGATACATGATATTAAAATATAATAATGTGACCTTTTCTCAGTCAGTAGATAGAGAATAAATTCAAAAGTTACAATTTGAAAAGGTGAAGCAATTCTCACACAGTGACAGCTTTACAATAATACTTTAACCTTGACTTTTTGGCTGAAGGCAGACTCCACAGAAAATGAAAGGTGCGAGACTAGTATGACATGCTCACTGCCATGACTGACATCACACTCAATATGGCAGTGCGATTTCTCCTGCTAGTGTCTTAAAGGAGTGTGAATTCAAATGCCAACGCAAACTAAGAGAGCCTGCTTCCTTCATTCAGCAATTTAAACTGAAGTAATATCAATTTTTGCATAGGTCATTAAGCGTGGGTGGATAATCCTTCACACTTGTTTACATTATACCATTTGGAATAGCTGATTTTACTGGCAAACAACATGAGGAAAGAAGAAGAAGAACACAGTTACCATGGCACCTAATTTTCTCTCAGCCTTTCAGATGCCTATTCCCAAACAGTGGTAGAAGGACTACTGAATTGTGTTACTTAGGTAAAAGTACAGATGTTACAGCAAATAAAAATGATTCGAGTAAGTAAAAATATAACATGAAAAAATCAGGTAAAAGTGTTAAAGTACCTGTTTAAAAATGCACTTCAAGAGTAAAAAGTAAAAGTATTTCGTGATGATTTTGAGATCTAATGAAGCTTCAGGTGTAGTGATAATGATACAATTTTGTGCCTCAGCCTTTTTCAGCAGGTGGCAAACAACTTTTACTTCTCTCAGATGTAAATGTAAAAGTAAAAAAGTGTCCTCTTTAAAATGTACTTAAAGGTCCATTGTGTAACTTTTCTGGTGGAGGGTCCATGAAATGTTGTTCTTGATGTTATTGCTTTGTCTAGAATGTTTCACAGTATGAGATTAAATCTTTCATCATGAAGATCAAACCAGAACAAATTACAGATCTGTGGAGAGGCAACCCCACTCATAGTCAGAATGTAGGTAATTTTGAGTTGTAAAACCATCTGTAATTTAATAAAAGTGAGTTATGTCTATAGAACCAATCAGGTGACAGACCCCCAACTAAAAAATTACATAGTGCATCTTTGATTAAAGCACAGGTACCTAAAATGTATTCTTATGTACAGTATTTTACAATTTTTCACACCGTACCCGAAGTTATTTTAAAATCTGAAATTCCTCTCAATTTCTCCACACTTTTTTCAGTTCCCTGCCAACGTGCTATATGTCTAGTGAATTACCGCTATAGGCTGTGGGGTCAATAGTACAATACTTCTTGTATGATTTGTGAGAGTTGTCATGGGCGAGGCTAGGCGCAAAATGCCGGGGTCTCTGAAGACATCATTATATTGATCTACACCCCCACCTGTGTCGTCAAAATGATCAACGACAACTGAAAAACAAAGAGAATCGTTCTAATCAAGGCTAAACAAAGACAACCCATGGGGGGAGAGAGTTGTCTTCCAAACCTATTCATAATTCAGTTGCACCCAATCCATCTTAATGCAGCTACGACACGCTACATGATTTATACAGTCTCGAGTATGAAGCAGATATTAGCCCGGACACAAGCAAGCCTACGGGAGCTTTCACTACACTGCAGATTTACGTCTATCCAATGGCGTGAATGTAAAGTGAAGAGTTTGGCCCCATAGCTGCGTCTGTCAGCAGAAACATGGCTACGTGTGCTGACACAGGGGATAGGAAAACTTGGACACAAAACGCAGTGATGGGGAGTCATGTCCAAAACAGATCAATACTGTAACAAATTAATCAACATAACCTTAGGGCCCTCAGGACTCCGGGGTTAAGTGGCGATGCTGTTAATTATGAGTCAATTAGAAGTGAGATAGAAGTTACACAAGCCATGTGTTACGGCTCCAGGCCTGCAGATCTAATTTGTTTTGTGTGTTTTAAATTCTTTTGTTGGCTGTAATGATTCCTGCTGTGGGAGCCCTGGTCTGTGATTGGTGGGGTTTGTCTACGACCGCCTCACCTGCAGCCACCACCCCCTATTTAAGGAGGTTGCCAGCACCTCTTCAGGGTTGCTGGCCTTTGTGGCAAGTATGCTGTTTAGTTCTGTGTCTCTTGTCATCTGTCATTCTGTGTTTTTGTTTTTGTGACTGTGACTTTGATATTTATGTGACTTTGTATGTGACTTTGTACGAGACACTCAGCATCATGCAAGACCTTTGTATGTTGGTTCATTTTCTTTTGCGGTCCTTTTGGTTAGTTTGTTGTTTGTACACATTTGAGTCGGTTTTCTTTAGTTTACCTTTTACATTCCTGTTAAATGAACATGATTTAATTTATTGCATTCTCCAACTTGGTTCTTTTGTTACTTCCTCTGTCCGTAGCAAAGCTGGATCGTAACACGTGAAACATACCATGTCGAAAACAAATGCCAATGCCAAATGGTTAAAAATATCTGATTTATTTTTTTTAAAGCAGCTGATGTCGGTGTGAGGGGGGTGTGAAGCTAACTGTAGGCACTACTCTGTCTGAAGCTCTGTTACTCAAGTTAGACTTAAGCCCGAGCTCTGTTAGTCACTCTCACCTTTTTTGTTGAAAATCAAACCCCTAAACTGTACCATGAAGACTCATATTGATCATAGGCTCCTGAAGATGTGCGGTTTAAATCCATTTTGTATTTATTTCAGACTCAACTTTTAAAAAAATTGGTAGTAATTGCTAATGTGTGCATGTGCTCCAACATGTCACTGCAAAGTATCAGTGATATCATATTTTGCACTGTTAGAAAAGGTTTCCAAAATTTTAGTTTAAAATGTGCTCCCAAAACCCTAAATTAGTTACTATTCCTTCTGTAGCTCATGATGGACCTTCTTGTAATTTTCTGAATTCAAAATCAAGCAACAAATCATCACCGGTGGAACAAATACTCAATGACAAAACAAAACTGTCCACATCCTCCTCATTACAATGCACTGTCTTAACCGCACACTTATAAGTGGGTGTAACTTACCCCTGCAGTTCTTTGAGTGACATGGAGATCTTGAGGTTGTGGCCCAGAACATGCAGAGCGGTCAGGATGTCCGCCCACTGGACCATCTCTCCCAGAGGACCTCCCTTCAACACCTTCGGACTGAACACATCTCCAGACTCCTCTGTCAGGAAGCCAACATGCACCAGGATCTGCAAGAGACAGGAGGAAAATGAATACAACGCTATTCTTGGCAGTAACAATTCTGTTTTGTTTTTTTTCCTATATTGCTGCTGCTGAACTTTGTATTTCCTTTGGGATCTATCTATCTATTTACTAATCAAGAGCAAAAAAGCTTCTGGACAAATGTAACACTTGTAACACAGACTGCACCAAAACACTAAAGAGACTAAATCAAAACACAAACACAAGGCTTTACCAGCTCCAAATACGACTGAACTCAGGAAGTTTTAGTTTTTTAAAGGTAATGTCAGAAAAGTTAGAATAGCTTTGATTTGATTTTTTATTTTGAGTTTGTGCCAAGAGGAAAAAACATTTACATACCACATATATACTAGTATTGTAAACAACACAAAAGCACATTTCTTAAAAAGGAGTGGGAAGAAGAGTCAAGTATATTGTCCATAATACAAAAATATTTGAAAGGCTGCAAGAAGAACAGATTAAAAATGATAGAATAGCAAAATCTTATTCATATTTTTGATAAATTGCTCTAATATTATCTGAATATTGCCATCATTTAAAAACACACCCCCAGCCTCCCACCAGTACTTAACACTGTGTCTTTTCTGAGGGGAGGTGAAAAGTCTAAATCGAGAAAATCTCACCAGGGCTAAATATAAGTGAATATAAATGAAATATTTAATTGGAGCTCAACTGTGATTACAAAATCCAAATTCACTATAGAATCAAGCAGGAATAACACACATGAACTATATAAGTGCAGTAAAAGGCTCTAGCAGCAGAAAAAGTCTGAGCATCACAGCATGCAAATGACTGTACCCGACAATTAAATTTGCATTATCTTACACATACATATTGGCATATTCCATAAAGCTAAGCTCCTTGAATGTTAAGCTTCTGCCATTCAAAATGTTTTAATGAGTTTCAGGATTAAAATCATCAGAAATTCAACCCAGAAAAAGAAATTATGGAAAAAGTAATTCTTTGAAATCCTCTCTGAATGATCCTCTCATGCTTCAATGAAAACGTGTCCATAGAAATCCATCATTAAAGGCTTGAGTGTAAAATTCATTATACAGTGTTATAGGAGGCTTGCACATGTGTAGCGGTCAGTGAGTGGATCCAGGAATTGGCTGTATTCGGAAATAGCAGGGATTTGACCCAGTTTTTCCACTTAACCTCAGTCCTCACACACAGCAAGGAATTAAAAAAGAAATAAAGAAATAAATAGACAACATACCTTTTCTCCCCAAGTTTGTACCTACTTCACTATAAACCTGCATGCACTTTTAGTTTTGCTAAATTTAAAGGTGCAGTATGTAACTTTTCAGATGGATCCTCTGCCACCTGCTTCTCTCCATGTTAATGAATAAACATATCTGTTTATTCAATGGTGGATGGTTTTGTTGCTTAGAAATATCTTGAAAGAAGATGCTCTTATTGTGAGTGAGGTCGTCTTTACACAGATCTATAGGTAATAATAATAATAATAATAATAATAATAATAGTAATAATTCATTTGTCTTATATAGAGCTTTTTCCAGACACTCACGCATTATCCATGTATTCCATATCCGATTTTGGTGAGCTACTATTGCCCTGTGGCAGACTGACAGAAGCAAGGCAATCTTTCTTCAGACTTTCACCCTATTTTTATACTAGGAAATATGAAGGAAGTGTTTTGCCTAAGGACACAACGGCAGCTTTGGCCAGTGGCACCTCACTGTGGCACCTGGTATTCCCAGCAGTTTCCAATCCAAGTACTAACCAGGCCAGCGCTGCTTAGTTTCTGAGATCTGACGAGATCAGGCTTTGACAAGCCAGTATGGCCACAATAGGTACCACCTGGATGTCTCCATGGAGATAGATAAGTATAATACTTTGTTAGATTCGAGGCAAAGCTGTAACATCTCTCCATAAAGACAAGCAAACAAAAGTTACAAATAATGCACCATTAAAGAATCACTACATTAACATAAAGTAATAAATCCACATTGAATATTTGCCAAGTTTGGCTCAAGTCATTAGATAATTACTGTGAAGAAGACCATTATGTCTAGAATTTAGCACTAGTGGTTCCTCCAATATAAACACAGACCGATTGTCTCCTGTGTAATTCATGTCCACCCAGCTCCTGCATAATGAGGGCACCCTGCAGACACTTAGACTACAGTAGACTTTTATAGTGGATTAGACCCACCCAAGAGTGCTTCACTGGAGTAATCCTGATTACTAAACACAGCATGGACCCTTTCCGCTGCTATTGCTGCTGTGCGGCGCCAAAAACTTTCACCAAGCACATTATAATGGTCTCAAGGCCAACAAAGTTTGGGTTTATCTGGTTCATTAATTTCCACAGCACATTTCTTGAATTTAAATCAGCCATACAGGGCGCTCCATCTGTGCGTACACATTTGATTGTGTCTAGTGAATGAGCAAGAGCAGCAAAACCACAGCCGCTAAGGGAACAGAAGTTATATGTATAAAAGCATAAGATTTTATACAGCTATGTGGCCATACTCATACACTAAGAGAATTCTGATTATCCTTAGGCAAGACACTTCACCCGTCTTGCCTATGTCTGAATGTTTTGTGTCTGTGTGGGTGTGTGTGGGTGTGTGTGTGCATGGTGGTTCCAGGGCAAAAATAGACTTAAAGTTAGACAAACTTTATTTAGCCACAAGGGAAATTATTTGGACACAGTAGCTCACACATCACAATACAATATAATAACAAACAACAGCTCATCATCTATTAATCAGTTTATTTATTTATTTGGAGTCTCATTAGCTTCTACAACATCGCTAGTCTTCTCAAGAATGAAATTACTGAATAATGCACACAATTATAAAGAGAGTCTGAAGAAGCGCTTTTACACTCATGCATTATTATTACTGTTATTATACTTTTTTATTTGCTTCAGGATGGGCTGTAAAAAAAAAAAAAAATGCTGCCAAATGAACATATAAACAGTTGCATCTACTGTAACACAATTTGAGCCTGCAGAAAAGAAGAGACACTATGTTTACAAAGTTGTCATTAACCTCTCAAAAGCGTGTAAAACTTACACAGCGGTGGAAACACTTCGCCAAGTAATAGTGTGATTTCAGCTGCTGTGTAATATCCCCTGATCTCATAAGCCTGCTCTATTAACGTCTGCTTCATAGAGAAAGATAAGTGAAATGTAATTACAGTTTGGGTGGCAGATGGCACAAGTGAAAATTGGTGGCGCTAACATCATTCACTCTTCAGGCTTTGGCTTTGGTTCATCACAAAGACGTGACGAAGGACAGAAGGAGATATGCATTTCTGGCAGTGGCTGAGGCATAGCAACAGTGAAAAATAAATACGGGAAGAAACACATGCTATAATGGCTTTGTGAGAAAGTTTTAATGAGGTATGAAAAGTGCTTTTAACTAGGAAGGCTATGGCCGAGGTCGATAATGGGACTGAAAATAATGATATTAGTTTGGATCTTGTGAAATGGGTGCAGATGTGCTTTGATTCTGCTTGTCCTTTTAAGGCCTGAATAATATGCTAATGATAAAAAAAAAAAAAATTAAAAATAAAATAAAATAGAGTTGTAGCGCTTAAAGAAGCACTATGTAACATTTTAGGGACAGGTCGCTACCATGGATATTTTATTTTTTTGCTGGGTGTTTTCCACAGTGGTGGTATTAACATGCATTTATTTTATTAGAGGTGTTTATATTGCTCAAAACTTGCTACTTCAAAATGATCTGTTCCACCTTGTGATGTCATGAAGTGGTAGTTTTTAAGTTAACAGCTCCTTTTCCCTTTTGTTCAGTAGAGATGAAGAATTCCATGGCTGAAATTATTCAAATGATTCTAGTTTAAAAACACAGTGGAGCACTTCCTGTACTACCACATGACATCACAAGGTGGAACAGAGCATTATCTGTTTGAGAAAAGAACTCAGCCAAAAATGTACAGCCCAAAATGTACAGTTTGTATCCATTGCCCTTCTAAGATGATTCTTTACCAGATACAGCGATGTAGAAGTTTGTAGCAGATTTCCCTTTGTTTGTTGGTGATGAGATATTTGTGAGGTAATGTCCGTACATTTCTCCATGGAATATTGTCAATAGAGTCCTGCTGCTAACAGTGCATGAGTAGGGCTCCGTTTGGGAGATGCACTTGTGGTGATAGTCGCTCTTTTTCTGCGGTGACTCATTATAAGGGAAGTTTAATTGAAGATGAAGCCAAGTAAGTTCCTTGTGAAAAGTTTTTCAAAGTTTGGTGCGCAGCATCTTCACTCATGCCGCCATCTTCAGGTGCTGGCCGTGTCCTGCCGCTTCCCCAGTTTAGGCTCCTGGCACCACTAATGTCATCACTCTGTTGCAGCCAGTGAAATAGAGGCAGGGGTAACCTTGTCGTCACATCACTGAAAACATCTCAGAACGTCTAATAAACAAAATGTGAACTAAATCTTGTTAAATTAATACTATTGAGTTTGGAAAAATATCAGAATAAATGTATATTTTTGTTTATTAAAATAAAATGGCAAATATTGGTAGGGACTATATTGTCTTCCCCAAATATTGGTTGTGACATGTCCCCACCGTCCCTATGCAAACCTACGCTCTTGTATGCAGGGTTTGTGTGTTAAACATGTGTGAATGAAACAAAACATAACTCCAGGTATGTTTTTGATGAGTAAACAACATTGTAGCATAGATCAGAAAATAGTGTAATATGGACCCTTTAAAGGCATACTTTGGACAATTCCAGACAAAGCAACAAAATCTCCGTAGTGCCCCTTTAATGTTATGATTGGTGAATACAATGTGATCTCAGTTGAAAGTAAATACTATCACCTTAGTTGAGATCTAAATTCTGGTTCTGCTTTTCTTAATATTCAACATAATTCATGTTTATTTACAGTATAATATCTCCTATCTTAAAAAACTAAACCTCAACAAATGTATTTGAAAGAAACTATCCAAAACAAAGTCAACAGAATAACTAGCGTAAGCAGTTTCTTGCC